TGGTGGTTTGGGAACAAGTGTCCATTCACTCTTTCGTGTATTCCTTTGCTCGCTCGGTTATTCATTCAATAATTAGGAATCAAGCCCCAGCAGGGGACCCCAGAGGTAAATATAACCAGGGTCCCGGACCCCAGGAGGATTCCTTCTCGGCACTAAAGCAAAGTGTAAAAGGGACAGAGAGGAGAGGAGGCAAGAAATGACAAGACTCAGGGGGCTGAGTAGAGAAAAAATGGAAAGGTGAAAAGGGAAAGAAGGGCCTCTGGATGGATAAAAAGCTCCAGTGGAGAGTACTGTAAAGGATCCTTTGTCTAGAGAGGTCAGAAGACAGAATGGGCCAGATCTGCTGATGACATGTCCCTGCCCACCACGCCCTCACTTGGCTGGTCCTTCTCACTCTTCTGCAGTCAGTTCTGGGGCCTCCCACCCAGCAGCCTGGCACGGAGGTACAGCACAGGCTTCTGACACATTTCTGGACTCACATCTGCCTTTGAAAGGAAAGGAAAGTTCTGGTAAATGAGAAGCCCAAGTGTTAGGGCCATCTGAGGCCATTCTTGGGCCAGCCAAGGGGCAGTCTATAATTTGGAGACTTTAATAATGAAATCCTCATTAATTGATTCCATAAATCCAGAATCTGTCAGTTTCAACACTGGCTACACTAAAGTTGCTTTTATACTGTCCATGAAAGAAAGGGTTTCTTAAACAAATGAATAGAGGAAATTATATTGACTTCTGGGGACCCCTCCAACCAAATAAAAAGTGTATAAGCTACCCTGTGTGTTTTGTGTGCCTCTGCAGATGGATGCTGCTAAATGTACATGAATCTTTTCTCTGCATCAAAGAGCACTCTGCAAACTCTCTGCTCCAAAGCCTGTGTAGCAGTTTATATAAGGAAGTAATGGTAAGAAAAACTCTCCTTCCTTCAACCCTAGGAGTGAGACTGTGCAGAATTCCCTCCACCCCAGGCTGAGGTAGGAAGAAAGTGTTTCGAGGCTAGGAAATGAGAGCCCCCCGCCCCCCGCCCCCCGCCCGCCACAGGGTTCAGTGCAGGGTGTGTTGGGGGATGATTCTTGAATAGTAGGAAACCAAACATAGCACCTCAGGCAGAGAAGAGCCAAGCTTGGGTACAAGCACAGTGATGCCGCCCATTCTGTAGGACCAGGTGGGCTTGGACAATGGGAATATCGTGGTGATAATAGGGTCTGCAGACCAGAGCACTCTCCCTGAACTTCTGTCTCATTTCAGCCCTGGTTATTTGGGATTTACTGTTATTTGCAGCTCAACCTAATCCAACCTAATTCTCTACTTCCTGGGTTGAATATCAGACCCAGAGGAACCTGACTTCTTAGTCACATAAAAGCCATCATTTCCCAAAGCAAAAATCATAGCCCATTTTAAAACCCAGTGAAGGCCATGGGGACTGTCCTAGAAAAATGTGTCCATGTGAGTATGCTCCATTCACACCCGAATATTCCTCCCAAAGTCTATGCCTGCACCCCTAAACTAAAGAGATGCAATTACCAAAGCACTCACCCCCAAACTCAAATGGTGTCAGGCCCTGTTCTCACTTGGGGTCAGCAGACAGCAGAGGACAGGGTCTCTGCGACACCCGTTCCCTTCAGCAACACTAGTTCCTGCCTGCCGCAGACACTGGGCTAAGTGCTGGGGCCACAGTGAGATGCCCAGGAGCTCATAGCTAGCTGGAGAGAAGGTGAATGAGCAGGGCAGTGTGATGAGTTCAATATTAAAGACATCGACAAAGCGCTTGGGAGTAGAGGAAGAAACCATGAGTTCTGCTGCATGGTGAAGGCAATGTCTGAGCTTTGCCAAGGGGCAAAAGGGTAGGAGTTGGGGAGATTTTATATGAGGAACTGTGTCACAGAGATGCAGATAGCCCTTGGCATGTTTGGGGAAAACAGAACATGCACATCAATGCTGCCCAGACAGAGCGGTGGATGACTGAAAGGGTTTGGGGAGGAGCCTATAAAGGCAGGCTGTGAGCAGCTACACAGGGCCTTGAATGCCACTCTAAAAATTTTGACTCGATGCTGCAGGCAACAAAGAGTCAGAGAATGACATGATCAGATCTGTCTGGTAGTGACAAGAAGGAATGGGGGACAGAGAAAAGAAAGACTGGAAGCTGGGAGCTGCTGGGCAGTGACTGGGGGTCAGGCGCAGGCTTTCACCTGGCCAGTGGACACAATACCTCAGCAAACAGCACCCGGTGTCACTGAAGCCAGCAGCTCCCACAACAGAGCCCTTGAGCCTCCTCTAGGTCGCTCAGAACAGGCGCAGCTGCCCTCCTGTTTTGTCAGGCGCACTGTGCTTTCTCCCCCACCCTTTACCCTGCCTCCCCACACCTCCCTGGCTTGCCCTTAAACAGCCTTTCATTCCAGAATCACAGAGCAGCCTCAGATGCAGACACTCCCAGAGGATCTGACTTCCTCTAATTCACCCTCATTCAACAGCTGGATCCAACACACATTTCCTGAGACTCTGCTGTGCACAAAGCCCTGTGAGGGAAGCACAGATGAAACAGACCAGACTCTGCCCCACCAGTTCAGTGATGTGTGGGGAGCGGGGAGCGTGCATCACTGTCCTTCTTGCAAAACAGCCTGGGGTGCGTGCACATGAGGCTGGGGATGTTTGGGAAACTGAGGAGGAAAGGATTCACCCCTCTGGGTGGGTCAGATTTAGAAAGTCTCGATGGTGGACCCCGGAGTTAAAAAAAAAACCAGAAGATCCAGTTTTCAGTTCTCCCTTTCACAACTGTACGACAACAAGCAAGTCACTCCACCTCTCTGAACCTCCATGTCCTCATTTAGAAAGGGACAGATGTAAAGTAGTCCTCCTTTACCTGCAAGGGACATGTTCTAAGACCCCCAGTGGATGCCTGAAATAGCAGAGTACTGAACTCTATATGTACTGTTTTTTCCTATACATACATACATACCTATGATAAAGTTTAATTTATAAATTAGGCACGGTAAGAGATTAACAACAGTAACTAATATAAAATAAAACAATTAAAAGCAATACATTGTAATAAAAGTTATATGAATGCGGTCTCTCTCAAAATATTTTTTTTTCTCTCAAAATATTTTATTAGGCTATACTGTCCTTCTTCTTGTGATGATGTGAGATGATACAATGCCTACGTGATGAGATGAAGGGAGGTAAATAATGTAGGCATTGTGATGTAGCATTAGGCTACTATTGACCTTCTGATGAAATGGCTACTAAGTGACTAACAGGTGGGGAATGTATATAGCATGGGCTAGACAAAGGGATGAGTCATGTTCCAGGCGGAACGGAGCAAGAGGATGCGAGATTTCATCACGCTACTCAGAATGCAATTTAAAACTTATGAACTGTTTATTTCTGAAATTTCCTATTTAGTATTTTCAGGCCATGGTTGACTGTGAGTAACTGAAACCATGGAAAGTGAAACCATGGATAAGAGGGACTACTGAACATTCTCCTACAAGGTTGGGAGGATAATCCAAAAATATATTGTAAAGCTCTGTGCCTGGGGATGGGATTACAGTCATTGTGGTAAGCAGACTCTAAAATGGCCCCCAAGGACCCTGCCTCTTGGTATTCACACCCTATGTAATCCTGTCAGGAGTGTGCACTGGACCTAGAGACTTGCTTCTAACCAGTAGAATATGGCAAAAAGTGATAGGATGGAACTTCTAAGGTTAGATTACAAAAAGACTCTGGCTTCCATCTTGCTCACCCTCCACTGCTGTCTTCCTCGCCTGCTCTGATGGAAACCAGCTGCCAGGTTGGGAGCTGTCCTAGGGGGAGGGCCACATGGCAGGAACTGAGTGGAAAACTGAATCCTGCCAACAATGTCATGGAAGCTCTTGGAGGTGGATCTCTCCACCCCCGCCCCATCAATCACTGAGAAGATGAACCCTGACAAACACCTCGAGAGCAGCCTGTGAAAGACGCTGAACCAGAGCACCCAACTAGGTTGGGCTTTGTTTCATGATCCTCAGCAACTCTGAGATAATGTGTTTGTTGTTTTAAGCTGCAGTCAGGGTAATTGGTTATGCAGCAGCAGCTAACTAATACAATCAGAGTGATTTAGCAACCACCAGCTCAGTACAGGCGCTAACCAACCAGTTAGAGCATTTGCTGACAGCAGCAATGGAGCGGGGTCTTGGAGGTCCTTGCTCGAGCCTCTTGCTAGAGCACTGGGAGTTCGGGAAGGTGGTCTGAAGAGGGGCAGGTGAAGTGGTAGGAATTTCTTATGGCCATACTCACACAGGGGCATAAAAGTACCTGCAAGAATATTCACTGCAGCATTATTTGTTATAGCGAAAGATTGGAAACAAGTGAGAAGTCTATGCCTAGGAAACTGGTTAAGTTAAGGACATCCATACAATGGGCTGTCTGTCACACAGCCGTCAAACAGAATGAGGCATGTGCTGACACGGAATGATGGACAGGAGATACTTAGTTCAGGGGCAGAACCGTGGCATCATATGCCATCATTTGTGTTAAATATAAGTAGGTATATTTACCTGAAGGCTTGTAACTCTAGAAACAACCTGGTATCCCTCGTTTCCTCAGAAAGGAGAACTGGGTAGGGGTCAGAGATGGGAGAGAAACCTAAGTTTTCTGTCTCCTGGAGCCTCCGGTGATGCTCCTTCTACCATCTGGGGTGGTGAGGCAATTGCGGCTATTTCTGGGAGGACTTATAAACCCTAATTTGGTGTCTAGAGATTTTCTGAATAAAGGGGGTGCTGCATGGAAGGGCCCTGGATCCCATTTCCCTCATCAGCCAGAGCAGTGCCTCCCGCTAGAGATTTTATTGGGAAAAAATGGTTCCTCTGCTCTAACAAAGAAAAGTCACTCACTATGCCCCCTTTCTTCCCTCAGTCCCCACTCAGCTCTCCGTCCATCTACTCTCCACCTGCCATCTCCCGGTAGCCTGGTTCAGTCTGAGCTGCGTCCACCCAGTCCACGTCTCTGCTGGATCCCTGGGGACTTACCTGGTACGTCCGGGGATGGATTAAGAATCATGAAGGCGTCTGACAGGCCAGCTTTGACAGGGTGCTGGGAGGAGCTGATTTCCAGGATGGACATCGGGATCTGCAACAGGGGAGAAGAGGCTCTATCAACATCCCTAAACACTCCTGTGCCAGCCTAGACTTCCCCTCTGAGCTTCAGACCCATCTGCCTGCTCGGAGTCACCTCTTGGAGGATGTGAAGACATCTCACACCCAAGAGGCCTCACCCAAATTTCAAGTCTTCCCCACACCACCTCTAAGCACATTTCCTTGTTCTTTGTTCCATCTTTGTGAATGGTATGTTCATGCAGGCCAGAGACCTAGGAGTCACCCCAGCCCCTCCCTTTTCTTCATTTCCCCCCTCCTCCACCTAATACATTTCTAAATCCTGTTAATTAGCTGGCTAACTGGCTCTCAAATAAATCTATTTCCCCCTACCCCTGCCAGATTCTAAGCTAGCATTACCTCTCTCCTAAATCATCTCCCAGCTTTCCTTCTGACCCCTCAATAGTCTGTCACAGGACCTTTGCACATGCTTTTCTTTCTCCTGAAACACACTCTTTGCTTCCTTAACTCCTATGCATCCTGCAGATATCAACTCTTTTCCTTAAAGAAGCCTCCCCTGACCTCTGCTGAGGCAAAGAGCTCCATGAAAGGCTCTTCTGGCATCAGGCACCTCTACTTCTCAGCACTTGTCACAGTGGCGATTCTCCCTTTGTCCCTGCAATTATTGTCTATCTCCTCAACAAGATTTAAGATCTATAAGGGCAGAGCCCACAGCCATTTTATTAACTACTATATCCTCAGCACCAAGCCCTATGCCTGGCACGTTGCAGGTTCTCTACAAATATTCACTGAATGAAAAAAAGGCTCCCTAAGACCCAGCCATCTCTGCAGCTGGGCTCACTCACCTCTTTGTAGCCGAACACAATTCGGCCGTCACGGTGCAGAGCTGCCTGGAAGGTGAAGCTGCCCCTGTCCTCCCGGCCTTGGAGGTAGACATGGTCCCACTGAACAACAAAGACTGTTCCTGTGGAGGAGAGCAGAGACCTGGCTAGAGGGGGTGTGTAGTTCAGGGAGCAGGGCATTGTAGAAAAAGTGGCCAAAATAGATTGGCCACAGATGGAGCCCCTTAGGGTAGTCTGCAAATTTAACTGGAGGCAGGAGCTGGGCGACGCACAAACATTGGCCTGGCTTCTCAGCTGGAGAGGAACCGTAAGACTCTGCTGCAGCCCTTAGAAACCGTGTTTGATCACCTCTTACCCTTGGATCATGCTTCTTACCCCAGGAAGCATGCCCCTTACTTCTTGCCTATCCTGACACTTGAGATGAAAGGGAGGAGAAATAAGAGAAATGCCTCTTCTCCTGGGATGGGAGGGTATGTACTCAAGGCACAGCCTGGTGAGAGTAAGAAACAATAAAGGTCCCTAGTATTTATTTTATCTCTACTAAAAGCCAAGCACTTTCATTCCATTATCTCACCAGATCCTGCTAAGTAGCAGGCATCTTGTTACCATCTTACAGATGAGAAAACGACCCAGAAAGCTGGGGTGGCCACCTTGCTATGTGACTGTGGGCAAGTCCCTTGCCCTCTCTGGGCCTTGGGCTTCTCTACAGGGGCTGGATTAGGGGAGCCCTGGTGACTTAAACTCTGAGATCTGGTCTCACCATTGTCAAAGTAAGCAACTGTAGAATTGTCGGAGTAGCCAGGGTTGAAGTTGGCCATCAGAGGGGCCACGTACTGAGTAGCTGTGAGCATCCGATGGATCACATCGCCAGTGAAGATGAAGCCTGGGGTGAGGAGAAGAGCAGAGGAATCACCAGAGAAGGCCTAGAGGATTTGCTTCCTTGTGTTTTTCCCCCAAAGGCAGGAAGGAGCAAGCCTTAGACCTCTATCCACCACACCCAGCTGGTGGGCTCAGGGTCAGGCATGTATGGAGCAAAAGGGTCCCAGACCAGAAAAGGTTCTCCCTGCCCATCCAGGTGGGCACCTCTCCCTCTCCCTGGGAAAGCACACAGGAATCAAAGATGGGTTCCTGATATCAACAGGGAGCTGGTCCCAAGAACCAAGCTCCTAGTGAAATCTCCATTTTCCCCTCATTCATAGACTCAGAAACATGGGGATCACAGGGACTGTCCACCCTGACCCGAGTTGGCCTGGAGGGACACACACACACACACACACACACACACACAAGCAAGTCAGCTGTTGTGAGGGAGGTATTCTGTCACACCCACTGACCTCCCTCCTGAGAGTGGGCTTCCAAGAGAGCCAAACGTGGGTCCCTCGCCAGTCCATCCACACAACCCCATCTGCAGTGAACCTCTCCAGGTAGGTCCCCAAAGTTCTGGCTGAGATCTCCAAACCCTCCTCCAGCTTCACTGACATGGCTTACCTCCAGTTGCTATGGTGATCTGCCGCAGAGGATGCCCGTAGAAAGGGAAATCGAAGGACAAGACCACTCTCTGCAGGGGATGGGAGAGAGTCAGCATGGGCCAAGCTGCAGGCCAGGAGGCTGGGCACCCACATTGCCCCATGCTTGTCTGATCAGAGTGGGGAACACGCATATCCAGGGCGGGCCTCCAGGACTATTGGGGGGTACTCCAACTCTGATCAAGCCACCTGGGATCCCCTGGAAGTCACTTCCTAGATCACGGATCTTAGGCCACAGCCATGCCCACTGACCAGGTGAGGTGGGCTTCCCCAGCCTCCCAGCCCAGGGCAGTGCTGCCAGGAACCGGGGCACTCACCGAAGCCTGCCGGTGGGTGTTAGAGAGGATTCTGTGGACCTTCACTTGGCTCCTGTTGGCCTTGGCCACATCTACCCATAGCTCTCGGCTGCGGGGCTCACTGGGGCCATACAGACGTGACACGTAGTAGCTGTGGTTGTCCTCCTGCCACCATCGAAGACAGAACCCAAAGGAGGTGTGAGGCATCAGGCATGCCAGAAACAACCCTCTGTACCTCCTCACCCCTGACTTCTGTATACAAGAAGTCATGGCCCTCCTGGGGAGTTTGACCTGTGGCACAAAGGGCTGGCTTAGGCCTGGGAGCCCCTGGGCCCTCCTTGGCCCAGACAGCTCAGTACCTCAGCCTAGCCATGCCTCTACAGCTCTGGCCCCAGCCAAATTCATACTTGCTGTACTCATGCTCAGCCCTTGTCATTCCCAGACAGGCCAGGAGGCTTTTTCTGCAGCTCGAGTTCCTGTGGAGCACGTCCAAGACAGAGCTTGGATTGGGGCACCAGAGAGAAACTGACAGAGCAGTCTCTAACAGAGCCCTTGTCTTCAGGAAGCTCCCAGACTGAGGGGGACACACAGTCCCTGCTCTGGGGAGTACCCTGTTTAAGGGAGAAGGGAAAACTAGATCTTATAAGCTACCAGTCTAAAGATGGAAGCAGACCCTTAATCTTGGGGAATTGCTAGTCTGATGGAGGAGGTGGGACTTATGTAAACAGAATACACAGACACAGACCCTCAAGCGGAGAGATGATAATGGGCCCATACTGCGGTCACTAGAAGGTTGAGAAAGGGGAGAGAAGCCGCAAGGATTCCTTCGAGATATATTTCTAGCTTCAATTATGTGCCTGATGGGGATAAAATAAAGAGCAAGCCAGAACGCAGCAGGCTGGATGTTAATTCCATAAAGCCTCTCCTGCACAGGAGCATTGGGCACCAGGATTTAAAGGAGGCCAGGAAATGGTTGGCAGAAAGGGTGGAAGAGCCAGGAGAGGAGGCGATGTCATAGCATTTTGGTCCCCTGGTAGGGCATCAGCTGTAGGAGGAAAGGAGGCAAAACAGGCAGGTTCACTTGACTGCTGTGGCAGAGATGGGGCTGCTGACCCGTGAGGAGCCCTGAGCATCGTGGGTCATCAATCAGGCTGTCCAGTGGCAGTGGTTGCAGACACAGCAGAGCAGACCATGTTCTCCCTGTCAACCTGCCAGCTGCCCGCCAGTCCTTGCCCTGGGCCCAGCATGAGCAGGGATAGGATGCCTGTCTCCCCACTTGCCAAGAGGCAGACTCTGGTCTTCTGACAAGTGACACACTCTGGGAATCTTGGTCTGGGCAGAGCTGGGGAAGGTGAGCAGAAGAAACGTGTTGGGCGGGGATAGATTTCACACTGCCACTGCCTGTTTTCACGTCCAAAAAACAAATCTAAAACACATTCAAGGACACATCACTTAGCTCACAAACCGTCTGGGGCTCCCATTGCCCTCATGACAAAACCCAAACCTCAGCCTGGCATGCGAGGTCCCATCATGAGCCAGCGCCACCTTCTCTTCAGCTCCATTTCTCTCTCCTCTCTTTCCCCTGTACATCCTCGTGCCCCCATCCGCCAGGCCAGACTCCCCTGACAGGCTGCCAGTGGTCACTCACGGCTTTGCACATGCTGATCCTCCTGCCTTGAATGACCTCTCTTGCCTTCTCCCCATGGCAGATTCCTACTCCATCAATGCTCAGCTTAAACCTCACCTTCTAATTGATCTTCTCCCCCTATTTGTCCAGTGAGGAACTCCATCCCATGCAAATGTCCCCCACCTCCCATGGGGTCCTCCAGAGGTCTGTGTATCATCTGTAGAGTCACATGAGCCCACCCTTGCTGGATTTCTGATTTTATTTAAGAAACCACCTGAGGGGGCCACCTTGATGCCACCATCCCTGGGGTAAGGGCAAGTGCCTATGCCAAGGATGCTGCCTTCCACTGCTGCCATAGTTACCCACCCTGAGGTCCCAGAAGGTGCCCAGAGGAGGAAGCACTACTCCCTAGCTCTGCCTTCTGGCACTGAGGCAGCCATGGCTGTGTGCAGAGCTCACAGCCTCCCTTGGGAAAGCAGCCTCTTCTACTTCTGCCTCTCACTCGACTCCCCAGGGGATCAGATGCCAAGTCTTTTTTTTCCTGGGTCTCCATCTCTTTCATCTCCATCCATCTCTTCTGGGGATCCCCACTTAGATCAAACAAACAAACCAACCCAAAAATAATCCCCCCCAAAATCACCTGCCAAAAATCAAAGTTCCATACACTTCAATTCATGCAAAGAGACGTGTACAAAGGTGTCCCCAGCCTGCTTCCTGGGAGTCACATGTGAGCAGT